AGAAGTCATCGCTCTTGTGAAATCAAATCGGCAATCAGGCTCCATTTTGAGCTTCTTACTATGGGATAACTTCCATCTAATGAAATTCTTTTGTGTCAGCTTTAGATACTGAAACCTCAGCTTGCTCACCAAGTTAGAATATGCTCTGTTATTCTTTGTGCTAAGACGAATTAGAACTAAACTACAGGCTTTAGACCCCAAATCTGAAAATAAGTGTGTCACTGCTTCAAAGATGAGGATTGTTTTACTTTTAGTAATAATTTTCTTCTGTTCAAACATAACTATCATACTCATTTGTTTCCTTGAACACCGGAAGTACAAACTTCACAGAAATTAATTCTAATTTAGTCTGTACATGCAAATTAATATGGTTCTCAAGCAGCCCTTCCTGAACTTACACCAAGGGAAAACTTAGTGTGGAAATTTGGCAAGTTATGGGATCAACAATAGTAATCTATTACTTTTATAAATTCTCAGATAGTTTAAAACATGTAGCAGTACATTTTAAATATCTTTCAGAGATACCACAATGATAAAAGAAGACCCCCAAATTTTAAGAAAGCCTAAAACTCCAACAGTAAAATCTTTTAAAAGTCAACTTACTCCAACCTCCTGCCGGTTTGTCAACAGGCTAAAAACATTTAGAGATTTCTCTGTCTTCGATTTAATTCACCCACAAATTACCATCTCTTAATTCGTCTTTTAGCTTTCCCAGACCACACTCTATTCTCAGGATGCTAAATTCCCAGAGAACCCCACTCTCAGCATTTCTATTCTCAGCACACATGCCTCCAATTAATAGCATTTATTAAGTATTTTCTATGTGTCTACCATTTACATCCCCTTTAGCCCTTTCAATAGCCCCATCACTTCTTTTACTAACCACATTTGATACTTGAGGGAGCTAAAGCACAGACAGTTTACATAACTTACCTCAAGTTCTAATGCTTATAAGTGGTGAAACCTTAATTCCATTCCAGGCACTGGGATTCAGTTATTACACTATGCTGCCTCTAATTATTGATAGGAACTTCAGGCCACATAGTAGTACTATGAATCCTGCCATTGCTAATACTCCACTCCTACCTTCTAGACTGTAATGAAAATTCTGGCTTTACTCATTCTGTGGAACAGACCTTACTGCTGCTATTCACATGAAGCATTTGGACTTTCTTTCCTAGCATGAAAGAATGTGAGCTTTAGACTTTTTATCACCACCACAGGAGGACATGGGGCTAGGGCTCAAAACTGAATTTTGATGCATTTTTAAAGTCCTTTTTGCTGGCAAACTTGGTAAGGACTTGGGATTGGCCATGAAGTGCTATTCTGGAGATTCACTAGATCATTCAAGAGTTGATGTCACATAGAGTCCCAAGACAGCACAAAACACAGATCTCAAGTTCACACACACACACAAAAGTCAAAATTGATCCCACTGTTAATTATGATGTTTTCCAACTCACATGCAAACATAAAATCCCATTTCAAAAACTTTCAACATCATTAGAAAAACCAGTCACTGTGTATTCTCTAAAATTTATTTACAATTAATAAGTTAAAAAGCAAAGTACAACCAGATTGTAAATCTTAATCATATGCACATCAAACTGTCCGAGGAAACAATTCGGTTCCATTACAAACAATTGCCTTCTACTGCACTTAAGACATAACAGTCTATCAGAAAATGATTCAAAACACACCAATAAAGTATTATAATAAAGTAAATATTATGTATATACGCCCACTAAAAACCACCAATTTAACGAGTGCTGTGGCAACGCTTAAAACAAAAGGCTTTCAGTTCAAAATTGCTGATTTTTTTTGTATTCAAATATTTTTAATGTTTCTTTATTGAAGAGTTTTCAGAAAAACAGTACTGTCATTTGCACGTAGCAAATCAATAAGTGTCAGCCACCAGCTTAGTTACATGTGTCCAACGGGGTACTCGAACTTCAACAAAATAAATACACACCACAACAGCAACACTTTGCACTATCAACAACGGAGCTTGCCCTCAACGATCATGACATTCCTGGTTTCTGGAAGGAAAAATAAGTTGCTGGTTGACAGGAAGGAGGATAAAAAATGACATCAGGAATCCCCAAAGGTTAGCGGAGATGCCAGTCACCACATTTAGGCACTCAAAAGTTAAAAATGAAATAAAAGCATAGCAAGGTGATCAACTTCCTCCTAGCTTCCCCCTCTACTTGTGCCATATGAGATATAAGATAATCTTATAAGAGAATGAATAAAATCATGAGTTTTCTTTTACAAAACTATATACAAGATAAGCTACAGACTTAGAGGACAGGAAATGGATGCCTCACCATAAAGGCCACCTTGCCAAGTTCCTCTTCACATTCTGCCCAATGTACCCATAAAATACTTTCACTTTCCTGTTAATATACTAACCAACTATATTAGTTGTTTCTTCATGTTTTAGAAGCTGTAACATAGGCTTTGCTAAAGAACAGTTGGCAGATATAAAGATTTTTTGACATCTTATTTCACAAACTAGAAATGGCATGATTTTTAAATAGACCAGATAAATAACATATTGAATTCAAGATGGGCAATCAGATCCAAACTGAAATCAGACAGCCCAGATAATCCAAAGAAGCATTTTTGCTAGTTCAAGTGCACTAAAGTAACAAGGCATGAGGAAAAAATGTTAAGAATCTCAGTTAAAATAAATGCATGGTGTCAAATGGTTGTTTCAGTTTTGAGCTGAGCAGAGTTATCCTCCCAGCTAAGTCTAATTTCAAAATCCTCTGGGAAACTATCTAGATGAACTGTACGTTAAAATTACATTCTAATATGGCCACTGAATTTATTTTTAAATTATTATAAAACTATATACAATAGTGAGTGGTACCAATACATATTTTTTCCTCAGGGGCTAGTTAGCTAAAAAATTTTTAACAATTTGGGGGTGGGAGGGGAAACCCTATGTATCTGAAATACAACTGGCAATAAGCTAATAAAAGAATATATATAAGCTTCCTATCACACAAATAAAATTTAACACTCTCCATCAACTAAGTAATGATTCACTTTTATTTACTCATGTGACAGTGTTTGTAACAACGCGTTATTATTAAGTAGTGAATAAAAGAATATGAGGCATACTGGGAAACTGGCATCAAGTCGTAGATATATATATATATATATATATATATATATAATTTTCTTTTTTCTACAAAACAAGAACACTGAAATTAAAGTCACAAAACTCCTACTTACGGACTATTAAACTTGAAAAACTCAATTCAGAAAGCAATGCCATTTGAATTCTAAGAACACAAGAGTCAAAACTTCAACTCATTATTCTCCTACGAAGCTGCCAAGCAGAGATAAACCTTAATATTGAGGATTTCATATGTCGAGTTCCAGCCAGTATGAATCGTTCCATAGCAGAATACTTAAATTTGAAAAACAGTGGTACAAAAACACCACTTGACCCTTTAGGTATTGCAGTAAAATCTGGCTGTGGCACCACCGGCTAAAAACCATTAAGTCTTGCTGCCACCAATGACCAAAGGCACTTGGATAATCAAGAATTCCACACCGGGCCGTATGATATAAATGCTATCATAAAAGTGTAAAAGAAGGGTCAGTACTCTGTGTGACTCGCCTGTTCGATTCCTGTGGTCTTCAGCTGTCAACAAAGACCGGTAACTGCAAACATAATTATGAATGGAATTAAGATAAAAAAGGAAACTCATGGAGCAAAAGAGACAACTAATTGTCATGATGTATATAAAAGTGATGGATATTAGTTTGGACATTTCTTGCTATCCAACAACAAAAAGTAAAGAAAGACCTATTTTGCCCAAAGTAACTTTAACCAGTTATATGATACCAAGAAACGTCCCCACCCCCTCGAAATCACTAATAGTTCTGAGAATTCTAATGGGTATTCTGTTTATCATTTTAATCACATGGTTGACACACATTTATTTCTCCTATGTGATTCCCAATTTAAAATAGGTTATCCTTGAACTATACCTGGATTTGTATGTTAGACCAGTACAAGGAGACCAAATCATTTCCAATAGGATTCCATCCATTTCTTTAACCAACACCAGTTCTTTATAACTTTTTTTCCTTATCACAAGCCATGTGGTTTCAATGCACTTTAATTTTTATTTAATCAAAAAGAATTTAACAACTACACTTTTCCTAAACAGAAGTTTATATGCGTTTCAACCATTTTCTTTAGGAGCTCAGCAAATATAAACATTAAATCTCAATATAAAATCTTTAGAAACACCTCAAAAATGTTTAAAACAGTTGTAGTTGGCATCTCTTTGTTTGCAATCACTGAGCCCATGGAATTCACAGCATACAAATCCTTGCACTATTAACAGTCATAAGCTTGAATCTCTTAGAAAAATATCCTTGGTCAAAGCTTTGGAATCCGGTTAAAATTAGGAAACGAGTGGGATTCAGAATACCCTGAGCACAAACGGGTGCAACAGCACAAAACAGGTTCGATCTTTCGTCCAGAAAGAGGGGTGGCAGTCGAAAAGAAAAACGGGGGTAGGGGTAGAGGAGCGGGGTGAAAAGCAAGTAGATTCTGGCGTTATTACACAAGCATGAAACCAAATTCCTTTGGAAACAATAACGACTTCTTCGGAGGACTTCCAGACCAGTGAGGTAGAGTCCAAAGGGAGAAAACGGATCTGCCCCTCCAGTCCTGGAGACGTCTCAGTCCGGGGTACGGAAGCAAAGGGCCCTCCCCCACGGGTCCGGCGGCCTCCTCCTCCGCAGCCCCGAGCCGGGAAGGGGCGGAGGGCGCACCTGCCCCGGAGTCCCAGACGGCGGCGCCGCCGCGAGCCCGGGGCGCGGGGCCGGGAACACCAGCCGGTGACTTCTTCGCCCGTAAAGTGCACGAGGGGACGGGGTCCAGGCCGGATCTGTAAACACTCGACTGACACTTGTCCATCCCTCCGGGCGGAAGCTCCGTCGCCGGCTGGGAGGGCGACGCGGGCCGCGTCTCACGCCCGAGGCACCGGGAAGCGGCGGAGCCTCACCACGGGTTCCAGGTTCACTCGCAGGACTTGGTGCGCCTTACGCCGCGCCGCCGCCAGGCTGCGCTCGCCCCACACGTCGTCGCCGACGCGAATGGTGGGGAAGGTGGTCAGCGTCGGGGTGGCCGCCCTCCAGATCTCCTCCAGGGTGCGGCCCCCGAAGCAGGGCTCGGGCGCCGCGGGCTTGGCGGGGCGGCTCTCCCCGGGGTCCGCCGGCGGCGGCGGCGGCGGCGGGGGCTTCCTCCAGCGAGCGGCGGGCGCCCGGGCTCCGCGGCGCCTCCTCCTGGCCGCCGCGCTCGAGGTCGGCCTGCGCGTCGGGCCGCGGGCGGCAGGGTGTCCCGGGGGGTCGGGGACCAGGGCCCGGCAGGAAGAGTAGCCGTAGACGTCCTTGCTGCGCAGGATATGCGGGGAGAACTGGTGCTTGAGGCTGCAGAGGAAGCTCCAGAGCTCCGCATCCGAGCTCATGAACTCCGTGCTGCGTGGCATGAACAGCTTGAAGGCGTCGCCCAGCGCCTTGGTGCTGTCGGCCAGCGAGAGTTGCGACCGCGAGTACACCACCTTCTCCTCCCGCGCCTCCAGCGCGGCCCCTCCTCCCGCCCTAAAGCCGACGCCCCGGGCGGCCGCGGCCGGGGCGGCCGGGGACCGGCGCCGCCGCCTCTTCACGCTGCGCCGCATCGGAGGCCGCTCGGGGCCGCCCGCGCTCGCCGGGTCCCGCCGCCGCCGTCCCCGCCCGCCTTCGGCTCCGCGGCAGCAGCAGCTGCTGGCGCCTGCCGCCCGGCGCGTCTCTAGCTACTTTTCTCGCCTCCGCCGCCGCCGCCGCCCCTCCCCCTCCGAGGGCGGAGGACGCGGGTGAAGATCCTGCAGACCGGTACAAGATGGCGGCCGGCGCCCACCCCTGGGCTTTGTCATTGGACGGCGCCTCGCCCCCCTGGTTTCTCTTTCTTCTCCTCTCTTGCCTCCTTTCGCCCTCTGCCTTTCTTTAAATGTGCCCGCCTCAGGCCCCTCCCACCGCAGCCCCGACTCCACCCATTGGGTGCTCTCAGAAGAGGGGCGGGGACTAATGGGGGAGAGGCCAGTTCCTGGTAGATGGTGCTGGGGTGGGTGATGGTGGTGGCCCTTGAACGCGAGTCAACAGTTAGGTGGGTATATGGGGAGGGTACCTTGTCTACAGTAAGGGGTGGACATCAGCTCCACCTTGGGGAGAGTCACTCTTGGAGTGAGTGGGTGTGCATTTGAAGACTGAGATTGGAGGTCTACCAGTCTGAATAACAAAGAGAGACGTGCCCAAAGGCTGTGGTTTGTATCACAGAAAGGAAATTTGGGTCTAAGTCCAGGGGGAATGCGCCTTTCACCATTCCCTTCTAAACCTTCAGAGGCCTCTTTTGCATCTTCATCCAACTCTTCCCCCTTTTGACCCCAATCCATGTCAAACAACACTAGTAATCCAGAATCATTCAGGTAATATGGACGGCATCAGTGGCATTGTCTCCTTCTGGACAATGGAACCATCTTCACCTTTAAGAGATACTCTGCTTATTGGGAAAGCAAAGCCTCTTATACCCGTAGAACTAAATACTCTGCTCAAGTTGATCAAAGATCAATTACGACAAAGCCATTCTCCATAGCATTTTTGAATATATAATTGTTTTTTAAATGAATGTACTTCACTTTTCATTTAGTTTTAATATGTCCCTTTGCAGCACCATCTCTATCATTGAGAAAAGATGCAGCTTCACAATCAAAAAGGTTCTGCTGAAGAGAACACACTGTTAAGAACCCATCACCTTTTGTATTTGAGAGGAGGGGATTATGAAGGTTTATAGAGTAATGGACAGTCTTCAGTCATCTTTTCTATCCTCAGTACTTAATTCAGCACCTGTTCAGATAGTGGGCACTCTATGTTTGTTGAGTGAATCGATGAAATACCACTGATAATTTAAAATGATGTGAGAAAGAAAGACATTGAAATCGCTAAGAACAGGACAATTTTATATTTTATATTTTACATTGCAGTTTTCTCTTAACTGCATTAAAGTTTTAAGGTTAAAAAAATCTCCTAATACTTAGAACTTTGAGGTAGGCATGCAAATTTTACCCTTCAGTGAGCACTTAATTTGCAGCAGAGAACTAATAAAGCAGAGTTTTGTGATTTGCATGTACTGCTATATGTGCAAATATTTGAGCTGAAAGATACCTAGTTCAATCTCCTTATTTCACAGATGAGGAAATTTGGACCCACAGAGGTTCAGTAATACAGCTTCTTGATAGCAAGACTAGGACTATAGTTTAGGTCTTTGGATTTCTAATCTAGTGATCTTTATATTTCACTGGAGGTTTTTCAAATTGTACTGCTCAGACTCAAAGAGGTTAAATAGCAAATGCTTTATGCAAGAGTGGAGTGACTAAGGGACAGAGTATTTCCAATTCCACTCCTCCCACAATTGAGTTTTTATCTGCCCTATATTGGACTTACAGATATTTTCTTAGAACCAGATTTTGTTCGTTTAGTTTCAAAACAAAGGAATAAAGTAAATAAAATGAACAATAAATAAAATAAAACAAAAATATTTTGAAAGTTGCTTCTCTACACCAGAGCACCCTCTCCACACACTGGGTTTATGGTAAAAACCAAACATCCTACCAGGAGACCAGTTCCCAACCTACCAAAATCATGGTAACTTTCTGAAGAGAAAATCATTTTCCTAGAAAAGCACACCCTGATCTCAGGACAAGATTATGGAGCCAGGTACCAGCTTCCTAAGTCCTTAAAAGAAATGTCATTACAACAACTCTTTATATCACAATTAGTTCTCTGGGTAATTCTGGGAACACACACGAATGTGAAATTTGTATAACTTCCATTGGAATGCCCCTGCAAGATAGACATAGAAAATCTCACAGAGTAAGCCAGCAGAGTAGTAAGGGGACTTCATAGTGAAAGAAAAGGGTAAAATAAGGATTTATGTACTCCTGACTTCTCATATTGTTATTTCCTCCCTTCCATGTTAATCATATGATAAGTACTTAGGGTTCTTAACCATGGAAATGTTTAGGGTCTTTTGCCACATAAATACATACCAGGCATCTACACAAACTTAGCGAATTGATTTCAGTTAAAAGGATAATCTTTTTATAAGACCATTCTTATTCTAAGAAAACATAAGGTCTCAACAGATTGCAGAGCATTCAAAAGTTCATTTTATAATACATACTCATTTAATTTACTTAAAACCAAACAATATCTTTATGAAATATTTTTAGGAATTAATATCATGTCAACCTACTTAAATTATTGTATAATTTTAAATTTGGCATTGTTTGAGTTCTCTATTCTTCCGTTTTCACTGTTTCTTATTTTTACATTTCTTCTTGATCTCTACCTTTTGATTAGCTTAAATAGTCCTACAAATGTTTCTTATCCATTCTCCATAAGTGAGTAAAGTTTACACATAAAGATAATATATTTCTTCTAGCTCCTGGGACACTCCTAAGACACTATAAGTTTTATGGAAAGTTGGCAAATTGAAATTTTGTTCTTGAGGAAACATTGTTTAAAATGCTGAGTTTACTCCTTTACCTCTCAAGGAGAATGATGCTTCCTATATATCTGATAAGTAGTGGATAATAAGAATAAACAGAACAAAAAACTACCTCTATGTGTATATTTTCTGAATTTATAATTTCTGTATTTTAAGAATGAAACCAAGCAGTGATTGGAGAAATTGAAAATAACATTTATCTCTTAGCTATCCAGAACTTGTGCTTTAAGATTCCACTTCTATGAAATAACTTGCTTCTTGCAAAGTGGCCAAAAAATTAAAAAAGTATCTGTAAGTGGCTGGGAGCATCCACTCTGGAATCAAACAGACTTGGAATCAAACAGATCTTTATAACAAAATACCCTTAGATACATTTTTTATCATTCTGAGCCTATCTCCTCATCTATAAAATGGGCATAATCTCTACTACAATAGATTGTCTTGAGGATTGGATGAGTGAACATTAGTAAAACTTTTACTAGAGTGCCCAGATCACAGCAGGCATCCAATAAATAATAGTTATATTTGTCTTATCTAATTGAGGATTTTACTTGGTTTAACCTATGTATTTCAAATCCTATATTACAGTGGGAGTCTATAGATTTTTTTTTTAAGTAATAGATTGATGAGAGGAAAATCAAAATGTTAGAGCAAGAAGGAAATTTAGAGATCATGTAGTGAGTCCAACATTCTTAATTCAGATGAGAATATTGAGATGCCAAGAGATAAGTCCAAGTTCACACAGCTGAATGGTAGAATACTCTGAACCAGAACCTAGGTGTCCAACTGTTAATCCAGAGTTGTTTCTAACTTTCTTGTATTTAATCCAAGGAGATAGCATTAATTTTTAGTTCAAGTGAAATTACATAGGACATGATTCATCAATTTCAGCCTTTTCATTAGAATCATTATAAAGAAATTTAGATCTTTCTATAAAAGTTATCTCGAAGCTCTGATATGCTCTAAAACTGCTTAATGTAAAATACACACTTAAACTGAGAGGCCAGAACTTCCACTTCCAGGAAGATGAAATACCTGTACCTTTCCTATTCGTCTTGCTACTTTCTATTTAAAACCCTGGACATTATATATAAAATGAACATAAGAAGACTGAAGAAGGGAGAAGAGAAAGCAGACAGGCTAAGGATCTCAGAACCCAAAGAACAACACAGCAGTGAGTTCCCTGCATTCTCTTTTTTTCTCTTTTCTGCACACATCTCAGACTGAGTGCTGGAGAAGCCAGCAACCAAGAAATGCCAACAGACATAAAAGACATAAAAGTGCCAACAAAACCTTGTTCTCTCTAGCTTTAGGACCAAGAAAGGAGTAGCCTAGCAAGACAGAAACTTTTAGAAAATTATTGATCTACTGCAGCAAAACACCACCACCCCAAAAAAGACATTATGCCTTGTACCCTCACCAGGCTATAACTAGGCACCCCACCACTCCTTTTGGGGTGATGTCAGAGAAGGCCAAATAGGGAACCACAAATCTCATCCCTGCTGGGCGGTGAAGAAGCAGTTCGCTCGGCAAAATCCCAAGGATGAAAGTCAAGTTGAGGATGGGGCAGTGGGGACGAGAATAAAAGAGTCAAGATCTTCAAGAACATTGTTGAACCATCAAACCAACCCTGAGACTGCCCACCTCTGGGTATCTAGTTAAGGAATCAGTAAATGTCACTATGACTTAAACTACTGTTACTTGGAGCCAAACACACCGTAACTGATACAGACCCCAGGTGATTGTGACATGCACTGTGCACTGCCCCCAACAGATGCCCCCTTATACACCTGCCCCCATTGACTACCAGTGTTAGAGATTTTGCCAAAACTATTTTAGATTTCAAAATATTTCCTGAGAAATTCCCCACATTCAAGCAGAAGCTCATAATAAATAATCACTGTCTCAAGCAAAACACGATTAATTTACAAAAATATGTTGGACAAGAAAAGACCAAAAGACCACAGGGTTATGTCATTTGTAAAATATTTCCATCTAAGTTACTTAACTCTTAGTTTTGAAGATTTGTAGCTAGATTTACTGGAACTGTTTTCCCCAAATTGTGGCCAGGAAGATATTTCCACTATCTCATCAACCTGCTCCCACTCTCTGTTTAGTACCTAGACTGTAGCTCAG